GAGAGAGAGAGAGAGAGAGAGAGAGAGAGAAAGGGGGAGAGAGAGGATAAAGGTCAGAACGGGAAAGGAGCAAGGAGGATTGGACAGAAAAACAGGAAGGAAGGAAAAGGTCAGCAAGAGAGTGAGAGAGCACAACGGAAGGAAGGCAAAAGAAGGAGGAAAATGTCGTTAACGTACGCAATGGCGGCCCAAAGGGCCATGTCTGAGAAGGACCGGAGAGAGAGTGGCACACAGGCAAAGGAGGATGGGGAAGGAAGGGGGGACGACAGGGGTTCCAGCACCCAGGGATCGACATCAATAGGAATCCGACTCCACAATCTAAGGCAATAGGACAGAGAGCACTAAACTTCCTAATGGAGAAAACAAGGATCACAACTCAAGTGAAAGTCACAAAAGAGGTGATCAAGGGACAGGACGGCAGGGAAGAAGAAGTAGACGTTTGGGAGTATCCGGAGCAGGATTTGCAAACACTCCATGATCTGTATCAGTGACATGCAGTCCTTTTTAACTTCTCAGGCAAGAATAGGGAGCTGTCACTCAACGACAAAAGGAAGTGGGTAATGGAGAGGCTCAGGGGTTTGGAAAGCATACCGGGCATTGAACCTGAGGTCTCGTACCATAAGAGAGGCAGATTCACAGTGATGATAGTATGCGTGGACCCAGCTTATGCTCAGTACCTGTTATCTCTAGGGTCACTCAGATGTCACGGATCGTTAGTCACAATCCAAGCGTGGAAACCACCTCAGCCACCTCCAGCGGAAGCATCAAGGCACCGGCAAACAATGTTGAGGGAGAACTTTTGGGTGCAGTTCGACAATCTCTCGGAGGGCATGCACAATTTTGTACAGCAACGCCTAAATGAGGAATACCCGAACAACTCGATTATAGAATGGCTACCTGGGAATCCAGACTTCCTAGCCCCAAATCACGACTCTCGGGTGGTGTGTTTGGAGGTCAAATCCGGGGCACCACCTAAGTTCCCGGAGGTGTGGATATTCAGGAGAAGGACGGAACGGATCACGGTCTTCATCTCTACTAAATCGAACCCGTTTTGCTTTAAATGCAGAGCAAGAGGGCATCTAGGAATGCACTGCCCTCAGTCAGGTACGGGATCGGGAGGGAAACAGCCTCAACTAAAACAGTCAATGCTGGTGGAAACAGACAATAAACCAGGAATCTGGTATATTAACTCGGCACAWTACAGAGGGTGGATCTTCGACGACAACCTGGAAACACCTAGGTGGGTTTGGGTTTTAAACARCAGTCCCAMTGTGAAACCAAACATCTACCCGCCGTATGATAGCCRATGGAGACAGGCAGGGGCGAAACGCATGGAAGACAAGGAAGTAGGCTTCATAACGAAGCCCATGATCGACGAGGAYACAGTATTGGAYGACAAACARCGTTTGCAGACTATGGCGGAATYGCWCAAGCTGGGACAAGAGGCAGAACTGGCCTTCCTGGAAAACAGGAGGGCAAGGGAGGAGGCAGAGAAAGTAGCGGGTGAAGAAAAGGGAAGGGAAGGAGGTGAGGGGGAGGGGAGTAGCAACTCCCCGGACAACGGCAAAAGCACTAAGGAGCAGAGCAATGAGAGGGAGGAAACCAGGGGGGGGAAGGAAGACGGAGGCCCACAGGCATCCACGAAGAGGAAACTTCGGGACAGGGAAACAGCGACGTCAACGAGCTCAGGTCAAGAAGCCAAGAGATCCAACACAGGTGGAGGGGAAGAGGAAGATCCAGAGTCGCAGGAAAAACAGCAAGGAACGGTTATGGAGGACGCGCCGACAGAGAAGGGCAAGTCACAGAACGAGCAGATGGACATGTCATCATCAGCGGCGGCGGAATCTGCAGTAGCTCCAGCAGCGGCATCAGCATCATCGACCCCTCGAAGGAGGGAGGACACGTCATCAGGTAGCGGGAGCTCAGCACACAGTCGGCATAAGGACGGTGGGGGAGAACCAATGGAAGTTTCAGCAGGAGGCTCACAGGAGGGGGGGATCAGCGGATCCGAGGAAGACATGCAACAGGACACGGATGAGGAGTTCGAGGAGGTCGCAGAGGGGGAAGAATGGGAGGACGCAGAAGGGGAAGAGCAGCCAGAAACTTTGGCACAATGGATCAGAACAGTCCACAAGCTGAAATGGGAGCGACATATCGAGTGTGAGGTTCGCCTGGCACACCACAAGCACCTGCGCAACCTGAAACAAGCAACCACAACAGGGAAAGATATCACTTCAACCAATAGGTTTGAATGTTTGAAGAAGGAACAGGAGATCAATGAGTTCTACTCTGCGCAATATGCTTGGAAGGCACGCCCAGATAACAATGATCTCACTGTGCACAACGCGAGCTACGCCAAGCAATTCATATGGCCCAAAACTTATCAACCACAGGGCCTAAAGAGATTTGATCAGAAAAGAAAAGCACAGCACGAGGCAGCGGGCAAGGCAAGCAACATGGAGTAGGGAACGGATGACTCGTCAGAAGAGCTTGAAGAGAGGGAGCAGATTGAGGAGGAAAGGAGACAGGCAGCAATCCTGGAAGCTCAAATCAATGTTCTCAAGAATCAGAACAGGGAGCTTGGGGGCGACACCACCAATTTGCAAAAAATAGCATATGCCCCGCACCCTAACATAAATGCAGCAGCCAAACTCTTCACAAGGCACAACCTGGGTAGGAGAACTATACTGCCATACCGTTGGAACAGCGGTAATTCCGACTGGGAGGTAGCTATCCACCGGTCACTAGCTCTGATCACAGCAAGAGACAGCCAGTGTACAAGGGCTGGACTCTGGGAACGGATCACGAAGGACTTGCCAGACAAAGCGCAACTATGGGGTAGTACCACAGAGGACCGGGAGGAGTGGGAGGACACAGCGGGAGGCAAGCAGACGTTAGACTACAGACCTATCGTCTTCGAGCTACAGGAGAGGGCAAAGTTGACAGAGGGACTCATCTGGATGCCATGGCAGGTAGTGGAAACGATACCTTATGGCCTCCTGGGCGGTTCAGAAGCAGCTGAGTGGGTTGCAAGGGGAGCAGAGATTATCACCAGATCTGGTGTCTTCACCTGGCTGCCGGATTACATAGGGGAAAAATTGGATCACATGGTCGAGGAGGTGGACTGGGCACAAGGGGACCCGTGAGGAGCTCGCCCCCCCAAGAGACTCCTGTAAAAGATAGACCAGATGGCAGAGAGGCCAGAGGAAGGAAGACTCAAGAGAAGAAGAGTAGCAATCGGGATAGGGGAGAGAGAAGCAGAGATTAGGGTAGTGTCGTGGAATGTTAATGGCATGGCGCAGATTCTGGAAAACAAGGATAAATGGAACAATGTATTGGAAGCTACGGAATGGTTTGGAAGAAACCCACCAGATTTTCTTTGCATACAGGAAACTCACTTAACCAACGCCCCGCATCACCAAAGCTTGCAGCAGAAGATATTAACGCAGCTAAGATGGGYGAAGGCGAGTTACTGGGCCTGGGCGGCGAGGTCACATTCGGCAGGGGTAGTGATCTTGCAAAACAAAWGAGCGGCTGCTGCAAATAAGATAACTCTTCAGGAGGCCTTGGTGGACGAGGGGGAGGGACGTTGGATAAAACTCAACTTCTCGTACCAAGAGGAGCAGTTTACCCTATTCACAGTCCACTGCCCCAACTCACGTCACGACAGATCAGAAATGCTTCAGCTGCTCCAGTCACACATAGAGATTACAAGACATAACATAATGGTGGGGGATTGGAACGCCACATTGGAACCAAGCAAGGACAGATTGATGGGAGGCAACTTGGGATCGGGAGATGAAACGTTGGGGGACGAGGCATTGGCAATTCACGACCTCATGACTGCTTGGTCCCTAGTGGATCCGTTTCGATTACACTGGCCGGACCAGAAACGGTTCACATACGTCAAAAGGAATCGCAGTCAACATATATCAGCCTCACGGATAGATTTCTTCCTTATCTCCGAGGGGCTAATAGGAGCGTTGCAGTCGGTGAGAGTAGGAGATCTGCCACAATGCAGCTGCTTAGACCACAAGCCCATCTCGATGGACCTGACCCTGAATAAGTCCTCCCAGAGAGGTAGAAGCTTCTATAAGGTGAATAACTCGCTGCTGAAAACATCGGAGTTGAGGGAGGCTATCCTAAGGGTGTGTCTGGCTCACGATAGTGTGACGCAGTCCTTTCCAGATTTAATAACGGCCCTATCAGGGGCTACGGCAGCGGTGTCTAGACAGCTAGCAGCTAGAAGAAAAGCCATGGAGAAGGAATTGCGACAGGCTCTTCACATAGCGGAAAGGAACATAATCTGCAATCCTGGTATGGAAATGTACGAAAAGATCATGGAATCAGCAAGAAAAGAACTAGGAGACTGGGAGCGTTGGAAGGCAAGAGGGCTGCAAATGAGAGCTAGAATAAAAGAGTGGGAAGAGGGAGAGCGTATGACGAAGTACTTCTTTCAAAAGATTAAAGCTAGGGGTAGAAGCACACAGATTGTGAAACTAGAGGGCCCACAGGGGGAAGTATCAGACCCAGAGGGATTGCTGGAGGTAGCCAGCAACTTTTACAACACTCTTTATAGATCCAAGGAGGGAGAGCAGGACCCAAGGCTAGTAAAGGAGACCCGTGATAAGTTCTTAGCATACTTAGACTGCACGCTTAAGAAGGATCAAATACTAATGTTGGAGGCCCCATTATCGCAGGAAGAGCTGAGGGAAGCACTAGACTCTATGACCCCCAACAAAACACCGGGAAGGGACGGACTAACAAGAGAATTCTGGCAGGAGTTTTGGAAGATACTGGGCGGAGAATACGAGGCCTACCTGAAACAAGCCTGGTTGAGGGAGGGCCTAGGAATAGAAGCTTCGACGGGAGTAGTCACACTTCTCTACAAGAAAGGGGACCCCAAGGATATCAAGAACTACAGGCCGATCACGCTGTTGACTCTCACCCACAAAATCATCACCAAAGCGCTAGCCAATCGACTGAGGAGGATAACGGACAGATGTTTCCACCTCGATCAGACAGGCTTTGTCCCGGGGACAACGTGATGACCCTTTCGGAATCGGTCAGATATATAGCGAATAAAATATTAAACGCGGCTATCCTCTTCTTCGATTTCGAGAAAGCATACGACCAGGTCAACGGGTCATTTCTACAGCAATGCATGGAAAAGATGGGGGTGGGACCCAACTTCCGTAAGTGGATAAGAGTCTTGTACAACGACTCTCACGGTCAGGTGAAGGTCAACGGTCACCTCTCCGGGAGATACAAAATGGCCAGGTCAGTCAGACAAGGGGACCCCTTGGCGGCCCCGATCTTCCTGTTCATCATGGGGGCTATAGCCTCCTTCCTCAGGAAGGACCCCTCGATAGATCGGTTGGTAGCAGAACCCGACCAGCAGGGCCGATTAATTAACCTGCCCACCACAATACTATTCGCTGACGACCTTACAGTCCTGATCAGAGCCACGGATTCCTCCTTTCAGGCCCTCACGAAAGCAATGGAGGCCTTCCAACTGGCCTCGGAAATGAGAATCAACTGGCCCAAGAYGCYAGGCTGGTGGCTCACATTTGACCACTCTCAGCCCCATCCGCAGCCTACCAACCACGGGGGTATGGAGTGGGCACATCCACAGCAGCCTCTGAGATATTTGGGGATCAGGCTAGCAGACACGGGCCCCTACCATTCCATGGCCCCTGAGCAGATGTCTAAAATATTAACAAAGCTAGATGCTTGGTCAAACATCTATACCTCGTTATTCGGTATGGCACTAATCCTCAATGCCTCCATCTTCTCTATTCTATGGGACGCGGGGACTATATGGTCACCCCCCGGGCGCTCTTTACGAAAGCTTAGAAGGGTAGCGGCAGCTTATCTGTGGACGGGGAACCCAGCCAAAGACAGCTTCATTCCCAAAGTAGCCTGGAGGCAAGTCATACAACTCAAGAGTAAGGGGGGGCTGGGCATCCTTGACCCGGAACAGCAGATAAAGGCACTCCAATCCAAGTGGATTATCAAGCTAATTTCTCAACCTCACCTACGTTGGGTCCCTTTGGTCCTGGAACACATTCGAGGACTGTCCAGGTATTCTACCCCTTCCAGCATGGAGGGGACTTTCTGGATCTTCTGCAAGGGATGGTCAAAGAGGGGCAGAAGGGGGGAACAGGAGGGGAAGGAAGACTCCGCTTCCTCCTTGTACTGGGACCGGATCCTTAAGATTTGGGAGGAGATATTCCCGGCTAGAGTAAGGAAACCCAGGTCTAAGGAGGAGGTCCTCAGACAACCTCTATTCTGCAATCCCTGGCTAAAAGACTCCGAAGGGAAGCCAAGGACACTGACAGCAAGAGATACCAGATGGGGCAACTGGGTGGAGCACGGGGTGTGGCAGATTAAACACCTGTGGTCCCAAGAAGAAGGAAGGTGGAAAACAGGGAGGGAGCTAAGAGTCTCGATGAAGGGTTGTCACAGGCTCACAGAAAACCTGAACGACATCCTGATTTTCGCCCCGCAGGAATGGACCCAACTGTTGAGGGCACCGCACAAATGGATATGGGGAGACTGGGCGACTTGGAGCAACAGCACAACACCGGAACATGCTTTCCGCATACATCAGGAGGTGGGTCCTGACAATCAGTGGCTGGAGGGGGAAATGTTTCCTATTTTGTCTCCTGGCGCCACAGTTAGTCCTCTAGGCAAGGCAGCGAAAGTAGCAGTCGCTATCAGGAAGAATGGGTTAAGGAAAATAAGGGTGATAGAGGATGATGAACTCACGGCGTTTGCTCCTACAACGGCCATACAGGAACTCGAGATAGACCCGGCAGAGTGGGCATGGAACATAAAGGGGAGAGTTTCAGGAATAACCACGAAAGTCAACATCCTGCGGTACACAACCAAGTTGGGCTATAAATTAAGAGGGAGATCGATACAGACGGACCAACCCCTAGCCATCAGATGGGAAAAGCGTGAGGGGATACCAAGAGGG